GTGTTGTCCTCCTTGGATCCTTTCTGTTGGGGGTTTTGTGTAATTCCATGGTCTGTTCGATTGTTTCCTCCCCCAGTTTGGGGAAGTTTTCAGCAATTATTTCTTCAAAGAGACTTTCTATCCCTTTTCCTCTTTCTTCTTCTTCTGGTACCCGTATAATACGAATATTATTCCTTTTGGATTGATTACATAGTCCTCTTAATGTTGTTTCATTCCTGGAGATCCTTTTATCTCTCTCTATGTCAGCTTCTATACGTTCCTGTTCTCTGGCTTTTATTCCTTCAATGGCCTCTTGCATCTTATCCATTCTGCTTATAAATCCTTCCAGGAATTGTTTCACTTCTGTGATCTCCTTCCTGACGTCTGTGATCTCCCTCCGGACTTCATCCCATTGCTCTTGCATTTTTCTCTGCATCTCTGTCAGTATGTTCATGATTTTTATTTTGAATTCTTTTTCACAGGACTGGTTAGGTCTGTCTCCTTCTCAGGTGTGTTGTCACTGTCATCTTTGTCTGCCTGTAGTTTTGCCTTTTCATGGTGATAGAGATAGTTTGCAGAGCTGGTATGAGTGACCGCTGGAAGAGCTTCCCTTTTGTTGGTTTGTGGCCTGCCTTTCCCCCTTCGCAAGGCATTGAGTTCTTGCAGGTGTGCATGTGGTCTGGATGTTGTCCTGTGTCCTTTGGTCTCTATTTTAGGAAGAGTTTTCTCTGTTATATTTTCATAGCTCTATGTGTTTTTAGGAGGAGATTTCCACTGCTCTCCTCACGCTGCCATCCTGACTCTGCCCCCCAGGTGTCTTTAAAATATTTTAATAAGACATCCTTTCCAAGTATATTTAAGGATTAATTGTACTACCTTTTTTATCAGTTGCTTTTTAGAATATTGATATTTTTGGTTCGCCTCAGATAAGTTTGCTTCTATGTAGTATTTTCAACTCCTAATGAAAGACCATTTAAAAGATAACCGTAAATGAAGTGAGAAGTTTGCAGCCACACTGCTTAGCTGTGATGCCTGGCTTTGCCCTTCGAACTGTTGTGATGTCTTAGAGTTACTTTAAGTCTCTATACTTCCTGCTTTGTGGGGTTTTTTTTTTCCTTTTCATCTGATAATGGGATAACAGTCTCTATTTCACAGGTTTGTTGTGAGGATTAAAAGAGTTAATGTGAGGATTAAAAGAGTTAAATGATTAAAGAATCTACTACTTAATGAGCTTTTACTGAATTTGTGTGATGAACGGATTCAGAATTTTATATACATGTTAAGTCATTTTGCTTTATTAGTAAGTCTTCTAGTACTTGAGAAAACCAGAGTATTCTTTATTTTTGGAATGTTTGTATATCAGTATTCCATTTCATTAAATCAGACTACGTTTCTAATTATCCTAGGTTATTAGTGTAATAGAAATGGGTATTGTGGTTATATTAGTAGGAGTTCTTTGTAGTACACAGTGATTTGATACAAGGTAGGCAATGTTTACTGTAGGATTAAATGAATTTAAATCTATTTATAATCCCGATTCTTTTCTTTATAAATTCTTAGCATCTGGAACTTCATCTTTATGTAAAGAAACTACCAAAATTCTAAACTTAGTGACTGATTAGATCTCCTAAAAATTTTGTTCATTTTTAAAAAATGTTATTTTATTTCTTGTTGAGCTAAAGAAGTGATCCTTTGCTGAAACAATCTTTAAAAATAAGTTTAAAATTTTTAAAAGTAATCAGAATCACGTTTCCTTTTTCCTTGGCTCTTGTAGCTTCACAATGAAGAGGATCATTCAGAATCATCTGCTATAGAGCAACCATTGGCTTCAAGCCCAACCCCGCAGATGGTGCAGACGACTCCTTCAGCAGCAGGACTCGAATCTGACTCTTGTCCTCCACCTTACAGTAGTATTACTGTGGAAGTACCTACAACTTCAGGTATCATTTTTAGTGTGAAACAACTACTGATACTGTGAGTAGCTCAGGGGTTTTTGTTTTTTAAAGCAGGATGCTTTTGTGTAATTACCAAGTCTGTTTGACTTTCTAAAAAAGGTTTTCCCAAAGATAGTTTGCAGAATATTTACTTGACATATTACTTGTCTCATATGGTTGTTTTTAAAAAATTAGTGTCAACTGTAGCTATTTAAACATTCCCATGCTTACTAGAATATATTCCCAATGGACTAGTATATAACTTCTGGAATAAATAAATAAATAGACATACATAGTCATACACACATATACATACATACACACATGCAATATACTCATGTGTATACACATACATACATGTATTTGTGTTAATGTTTCTCTTATGTAGTCACAAAGCAAGGTGTTACTGATAATGAGTGTTCATGGGAATGTGCTGAGTATGTGTAAACAGGTGAAGGGGGTACATAATGTTAGCCTATACACATGGTAATAATTTAGGACTAAAGACAGTGATTCCTGCTTCCTTCTATTCATACTGTTCATCTTCTCTGTCAGGTCATTCTGAAGAACTACTTCCATCTCTGGCTACAATTTGTATTTTCCTAGTAATGGCAAGTTAATCATTTTATATATATATATATATATATATATATA